TTCACAGTGAATGCCCCAGGGCATGGCTGGTTGTAATAAAGCCTGCACTCACAGTGAATGCTCCAGGGCAGTGTAGGCTGTAATAAAGCCTGCACTCACAGTGAATGCTCCAGGGCAGTGTAGGCTGTAATAAAGCCTGCACTCACAGTGAATTGGTCCAGGGCAGTGTAGGCTGTAATAAAGACCTGCACTCACAGAGAATGCTCCAGGGCAGTGTAGGCTGTAATAAAGACCTGCACTCACAGTGAATGCTCCAGGGCAGTGTAGGCTGTAATAAAGACTTGCACTCACAGTGAATGCTCCAGGGCATGGTTGAATATTGAAGCAGTGTAACAGTATTTCTCCATCGCTGCTCTGAAATAGGACAAGAGTGCGACACTCAGGGACCATGTTCTGCTCTTGAATTGCTGCTTCAAGGACTTTTCTGAGCTTGGGAGGCAGAAATATTTGCCATGTCCATAACATCATGCCTTTATTAAAGCACAGTTCTTTGCCTAGACAATCTCTGAAAATGTCATCTTTGAAATATTAGTTTGTATGTTTTTTCAGGAAGTAAAATGAAGTTCCTTCACAAGAAGAATTAAAGAAGTCATCGTACTTTGATCTGTAACCATATGATGAATAATGTGGATCTTGCTTTGTACAAACTCATTGGCAGAACATGCACTCTTTATGGAACCCATTACTGATTCTGTACATGTTGTTGTACTTCTGATAAAGAACCATTGTAAAGGACCGTGATTCAGCAGAATGTGCATCTGTTAATAAACTATACCCATTACATGTCTATTTGCAGAGAAGCATGACTGAAGAATGGTATTGGAGAATACTTGCAGAACAAAAGTAAACCATTAAGTTCTTGAATTATGATGAAGAGAATGTAACTAACTTTGAATACTGGTTTTTTATTTTTCATGTTTTTTTTCCTCATAATTGATATAAGTATTTTAAATGAGTAAATCCCATGCACTACAAAGCCCAGAAGGTTTATAAATACACAAATGTACACAAAGACAATACTCATCTGGCACCTGTGATTACTATGGTCAAGGTAAATAAACTGCAAAGCCGAATTATTTTCCACTCGGGAGAATTAGTATATGTGGTGCTTATATCACTGGAATTCTGAGCCTTGGTTCATGACACGAACCACCTGTCACAGAGGTAATATTACACTTCTCAAAAACTTACAGCAGAACTTATAATAAGTACCAGAACTACCCAGTCCAATAATATGAACCTATTTTCAAACTGCTGGAGTTTTTTTTTAAATTATCTGTATCTTTGCAACTTTAGGTGTCATCTACAGTAGCAGAAATTGAATTTTATGCTTCAGAGACCCTTTATAGAATAACCAAATGTGGTGCTGAAAACCCATCTGGGTGTTTCCACAAACCCACACAGCTAACGGTGGATCCCCCCCCACTCCACACACATATTTTGTGCAAATTTATACACACCTCACTACCAAATGCAGCTGAGGGGGATGGATCTAGTGCCATGACATAAAACAGAAGCTTGATTAGCAGGTGCTTGCAGCAAGTAAGCAGTACCAGGACACCTCACAAAACACAAAGCATAAAAGCTAAACAAAGCTGTACAAAAATACTCCATATATCCCATTTATTCTTTAAAACTGTCCATGTCATGAGCTCACAAGCCCCTCCCACTTCCGTAATCTTCTCCTCAGCCTTCCTGCTGAAGAACTTGGCCTTCACGATGACGGGCCTGCTTTGGGAGTTTCCCTTTGCCCAACACTTTGAAGTAACCATGTGAAAACAGAATTACAGGGAAGCATAAGACACAGTGCTCCCTAATGATCAAGCAAGCAACAGCACAGAGCGTTAAGGTTTGTCAATAAAGCCCTATTACCTAATATCCACCGCTAAGATCATTTGAACAAAAATCTCTGTAGGGAATTTGAGTTTGGAGTATTGAAGGTACCATTACCATTAGGTACTGGGTATCCCCTGAACTGATGATTGACCTCACTTTCATTTCCATGTCAGGTTTCTGCCATTTGATTGTAAAATTTCACTTTTTCTGTGAAAAAACTGAGGGTGAAATTAACCAGTGTTTCTGGTCAAACCACCATAATCCTTAATTTCAGCGTGATGTTTGAAAGAAATCAAAAATGTTGCCAAAAAGAGTAAGAAATATCTATTAACAAGAACTGTGAAAACAAATATAAATGAATTCCTGCTGTAAAGTAAAAATACAAAGTGCTTTGTTAACTGTATCAGTCTAGGTGGGATGTTGGATGGAAGAAACTTAGCTGCAAAAATGACCAAGCAGAGCAGTCTGACAATTTAATATCCTCAACAAAAATGCTCACCAGTCAGTTCGAAATATGCAAACTGGTGCCTGATATTAAAACAACCCAAATTTAAACCGAAGTTGGAAACACTAATCTCACTATAATCAACCACATGACTTGTAGGCAGGAACTTTTTCCACTTCCACGCAGTTTCCATTTAACGGTATATATAGTTCAATGTCTATTTTAGTCCTTTTTATCAACTGTTGATATTTCAAGGTTTTTGAGATGCAGAATTCTTTGCAGAAAACTATGAGGAGAATTTACATCAGATGGAAGATGGAAAAATCCACCATGAACCAGACCTACCCAAGGAACACGGGGCGATGGCCAAAAAGCACCCCGCTTAGTCCATTATGGTAAAATACACAGAATTAAAACTCAGGCACATGCCAAACCAGCATATTCCCTCTGCGTGTACATGCCTGATTTATAACAGTGAAGATGACACCTTTCAACAGCTTTTTAAAAAAAAAAAAACAATTTCAGTGATATAAAAAAAAATCAGTGGATAGCACTTAACTCTTAAGTTAAAACTCCTCACAGACTCATGGAAGGAATCCCAGAACAGTCCCTATGCCAGTCTGCTGCAACAAAGCATGACTTTTCACTTACTGCTTGCATGACCTCGATGACGGCGGCAGGACCGTCTGGCTTCTTGCCATAATTAACTCTGGTCTGCTCACTGACCATTTTCCAGAGCTTGTCCAGGTTGATGGTTGGGCAGAACATCGAGTTCCTCTTCAGGTGCTAATGTCTCATACCAACCTTTCCGAAGTAACCCGGATGGCTGGGTGTGATGAGCACAGCTGATGTCAGACAGCAAAAGCAAACAGAAAACACGCTGACAGAGGAGGCGCGCAGTCCTGAGGGTCCACATCACTACTCATCCTCACAGAAACATCTCCTACACGACATAACGCATCTTTGGGGCAAAAATGAAATCCCAAACTTGAAAAATAAAATTTAACTATAAGGAAGGGTACCACCCGTCAGATTAAGTATCTCTTACACTAGCAACTCAGTGATTGAAACTCTAAAGAGATGATGACCAATCCTTTCCGTAATGACGCCTAAAGAAAGGCGGACCGTCTCAAGAATCTAGTTTCCAACTATACATTTAATGTCACTTTGCACAATGGATGTCTACTGAAATGAATTAAGACACTATACCGTGGTGCTGCCTCACAAAAGCCGCTGCTGCATAGAGACTCCAAGGCAATGGCAAATTTCAGGATGAGAATCTAACCTCAGTCATGTTGCAGACCAGCAGAAAACGTTATGCCCGAGTCCTGAGCTGGAGATCCTGACAATGACTCAGAAAACCACACCAACATTCAACACAAACTATTAGTTCAATAAAGGTACACACTCACAATGGATGAAGATACAATGAATCATGAAACAATAAAACAGTATTTGCCAATGATCTGTTACTTCTCAAAGTTTCTTTTATAACATTTTGCATATAAAATGTACACATGTACATCATTCACTACTTTCCTTCAGAAGCCCAAGCCTTGGTTTTGTGAAAGACCCTGGCACGATGCCTCATGTTATCAAACATGCGAGGCACCTAATGATCCCACATGCCCAGTGTCAGCCTTAATCATCTCCACCCATATAGCCCGCTTTCACACAGGTGCCACGAGCCCCCCGCCCAGCACAAACGGCCCCATACTCACTATTTGTCAAAGTTTATTCTGTGGTGATGCATGCCACCTGCATTACCGCGACCACCAGCACGTTTCCTGTGTTTGCCTGTATGTGATGATAATGAGGTGCCAGTTATTAAGGAGACCATCTCAGAGAGCACACACTCAAGGCAAGAGTAACAGGCAATGGGGAAGGAAGGGGCGCTTGCCATCACGGCCATGCCCATGGCTCACGTGTCCCCTCAGCTTCCTGGTCTTGGAATTTCTGGTCGGCTGGAGAGGAAAAGTAAACAGGAAGTAGGGAAGTAAACAGGAAAAGTGGACAGGAAGGAGATCTTCATCAGAGGCAAGTAGAGGTACTTCTACTACTACTGCTACAACATGCTCACTTCTGACACGGGATGTTATTTCGAACAATGTGTTAACGGACAAAAACGTTCAACAAACTGGCAGTAACAGAAGCGAGACAACTATACAACAAACTACAAATAACCATGTAACAGCTTCAATAGAATATTAACCACCGCACAACTTATTATGCGCCATAAAAGCCACGTTTATTCATGTCCTGTAACTGACATACGGCTATTATGCGTGACTAATGACAGCTAGTTATGTCAATTAACAATGCTCCAATCAGTATTTACCCAGGTACGTAAACTTTGATGTATATATTGTTTTTAGGAAATTCCATGCACTCAGCTCTTCCGTAAACGATGAAATGGTGGAATTTAATATGTGAACATTTCTTGATTACAGACTCACTGTATAACTACTGCGGCGAAAAAGTTTGCCGAATTTTCTTTCGTGCGAATTAGCAACGTCTTCTGCATAACTGACAGCAGCCAGTGATTCCTTTTTTACTCTGGGATCAATCAAGATTTAACTTGAAATGCCAAGAATCTAATGAAAACCTAATGTAAGATACACATACCATCTTACAGATGGACTGAAAAAGCACCGAAATTTGGGAAAGTCACGATTACAACCGAGTTTTCGTGTCTGTACGTTAATATTCGCTAATGCTACAAGGTTGCCGCCTAGTGCCAGGGAGTGGAACACTCGTTGTGAACTTGAAATTCTGGAAACGGAAAGTTAAAATGACCAAGATAAGCGATTAGACGACTGGAAGAGCTAAATTGAAACTCTCAATTTTTCCTGGCATTGTGCAACGCCCAAAAGAAAAAAAACGCTTATATCAGTCAAAAGTTTTTGCACATACTGAGATTTTCTGCTTTTGCATGTTACTCAATATTTATTAGAAATGCACTCAATATTCTTTGCTGACACGCAAATTTACAGTAAGGTCACCATTTGAATACCTTTATTAGCAAGAAACTGTTATATTTTTGATTCCTCATTGAAACCTCAGTCGGTAGTTATAACAGCAGAGAAAATTCGAGGCATTCTTTCTACAAGGGACATTAAATATTGCTCTGATTTATATGATAAAACGGTTAACTAGTGCATTTAAAGTTAAAGGACAGCCTAGAATTTGACTATGCCATCTCCACACAACCAGTTAATAGGATGTCAGACATGCACTGTTACATGCTCTTTACATGTTATAAAGGAAACTTGTTTTATTTGACTTTAATTTAATTTATAGATGTTTGTTCAACTTTCCAATGCTTAACAAGAATAAAAAATTTTACAGTTTATGAAATAAATGGGAAAGTGTGCAAAAACCTTTGACTGCTTGTGTGTGTGTGCGTGTGCGTGTGTGTGTGTATGTGTGTGTATATATATATACCTACATGGAGAAGACAATACGATAACACAGACTCTTACGAAACTTTCTAACCTTGTGAGATTATCAGATAATATTCAATGTAGGCTATGTCTTTCAAAGTATTGTGCAATTATTTACATGCAGCAAATAGCGAGATTATTTAATCTGCTGTATATGTACAATATATTAAAAAATATGTAATATATAGTTCAAGTGGAGTAAAATAACCTATATATTATTGAATTTCGATGTTTCATTTATTGATCTTCAATATGATACAGATGCACTGAAAAATCATATTCAACTTCATAAAAAATATATTCAAGAATATTCAAAATCAGCATCTTAAGTATGTTAAGGCGTCTGATCTCATATACAGGTTAAAGTTTGTCCAGTGATCTGTGGTCATGCGACAATCTAAAAATAGATATAGGTCTATGTACAGGAAAGCCATACTCATCTCTATTAAAGGACCTCACTGGACACAGTCCAGTCTCAGTTGGCCAATCTGTGTGTTGTAGGCAAATAACACATGAACAGCATCTTTAACTTTTGGACTGTGAGCAAAAATCTGTCTGAGAAATCATATCCTCTCGTGGAGTGGAGGATGTTTGAACTTCGCGAGGCCGGTGTTAGTGTATAAAAGCAACTCTCAAGTAGCCCACCGCTATAATGCCCCATGGATGATATCTAGCAAGAAACTATGACTATTTAACAAGGGTGTGGGTTTGATTTCAATGTTAGTAGGGACCAAATCTTTCCCGAATCCCCTCGCGCCCCAAAACACAAAATATTGTTTCAGACATATTCCTACTGCCCACACCCACATCAGCACTCTTGTAATAAAGATACTGCCTACGATCTCAGATTCAGTAAGTGGAACCTTATAGCTGTCATTCATTACAGTTTATGCAGTTTATCGCCATGCATTTATTCAGTAATCAGTAATGAATAAAGAAAGCACATGAGTACAGGGAAGATCTGAAGTCCTGAAACATGAAAGACTGTCGCTGGTCGGGCGCGGAGTTCCGTGCCTGTACGATGACAATAAATATATTCTATTCAGTTCTATTCTGCTAATCATACATTGCTTCAGAGTACAGTTTTCAGTACGCAGCTTTTCGCCTCACTACGGTATAAATCATACCGTTATTTCTATTTCATTTACCTTTCTCTTAGCTGCCCTTGCAGGCTGCGGAAGGGTACAGTGAGTCCAATAGAATGTTACCGTGTATTCTTTATGCGTACTAGTACGCCCACCTAGTGGAAAAACTAAGAATAGCTGGATTTTACTTATAAAACATTTTCAGATTGTTTTGTATTTTATAATCGTATTTATTAAAATGTTTTTTTTCCTGAGTTATCGAGGGTAGAAATGAGGAAGAGACGCGTATTGGTTTTTGAGTTTTGACTTAAACCGTTACTAGTTTAATGATTGCGATAAAGATTTAAGGATTTTTTTTTTAATTGCAGGTGGTATCTAAATATATAAGTCTTGTAACTTAATTTAAATGTATAACATTCAAATCAATCTGCTGAATAGTGTTAGTTTACCTGTAGTTTTCTAGAGATTACATTTATTATTGGGATTCAAAGCTTTTTTTGTTTTCTCATGAGGACCAAGTCCAGTGACATTTGCTTGTTAATATACAGCCACCAGTAACAATAACAACATAATACCACGGCCTGCTCCAGCTATAGGCAAACAGGACAGTTGCGCCCCCCCCCGAATTACCTGTGTTGTGGGGGAAGGGACATGGTCATGAATTTCCTTGTAGGGCAGTATCCCAAGTAAAGCTTTATCTAGGGTCCCTAAACAGGCAGAGATGGGAGATCAAGTAAGCAGTAGTATGTGACATCCATAGGTTAGCATTATTAATATTAAAGTGCAGTGTATGTCAGTGTGTGCTGAGAAGTCTTATTAGACACAATGTAAAAGGACATTCCTGTGGTTATTGGCGTGGGATCTTGGTGTCACTGAGGTAGGGATTGATGTTCTTATTAAAGCAGGTGAATTGCCAGCCTTGACCCACATATGAAGCATCTGCACTTTCAATCTATTATTTACATCTACAGCAACATGTCCTTAGTTTGTCATTGGGTTCATTACTGTGCTTATTGTGTTTATCCCGATTAGGACAAGCTGTTGGAAGAGGGATAGATGAAGAGATGGATGTAGTTTTAATGAGATTGTAGCGAAAGCCTGGGGTGATATCCCAATATCCCAGCAGCCTTTAATGCCTCATTATAGATGCCTGCATTACTATGCACGATCTTTATAGTGATTGTTGAGATAAAATGAACATAACTTCCTTTGCCAGATTACAATTACTACAGGTAAATGAAGGAGAAGATGCAGTGCTTTGACAATGAGAGCTAGCTTAATATTTTACTTAGGGAGACAAGCAGCAGATCTGCATTTATTTTACAGGAAATTGAGAGATTTCTTAATTTGATCCTCCCCCTCGGTGTCCTGTCTTGTGACCCCAGCTGTCACTATGTGTCATCTGTAGCACAGCCCAAACCGCAGAGAAGAAGAGTCTCTTTTGAGAGGATGCTGTGCTGTTTTCAAAGGATTGTGGCACCAACGGCACAAAGGTAAGTGCATTATTAACAGAAATGATTCTTTAAATGTAAAAATGATTGTTTAATGTCCCTCAAATGCTTCTATATAGTTATCATTGGAAGGGCTGTGCGTTAAGTCCTCGTGTGAGGATTTGTATGTCTGCAAAGCTGCTGAGGAAATTAATGCCTGGTGAATTTGAAATTAAAATGAAAGATTACGCCGGAAGAGTCAAACCTGAACCTGACCCCTGTGAGTGATAATTGATGTTGCATGGGTGTGCTTTCAAGGGAGATGTGGTCTATGAAATTCTTATTAATTTCTGTCCTCCGGGGTGGCGTTGCATCGTGTTGCATGCTGCCTGAGGATTGCCTGTCTGGCTGAAGCAGCTGGAAGGTAGGAGAGATTTATGAACTGGCGGAATGCAGTGGAAGACAAGTTTGTGGAATCCTGGAAAACTTGCTTAGAGGGGGTGGGGAGTGTGATCTCCCAAAGCGGACCTCTGCAGTGCAGAATTGGGTAGAGGATGCTGTCTGCTGCTCTGCACAGAGCCGAGCATCGTCAGGGTGGGAAAGCAGTGAGATTTTGTAGGTCAGGTTGATGTGGGTTTCTGCTCTGCAGCAGCCTGTGGTGGGAGTGGGTTTTGCTTTGGTTATTCACGCCGATGTTTGTTTTCTTTGTTTTTGGTTCCTTTCTTCCCCCCATATGGTTAAGCAGTTTCCCTCAGTGACAACCGTTGTGTTTGGCCAAAGCCCGGGAGTCAATCTGAACAGACTCATCAAAACCTTAATGCCTTGATGAGTTTTTCTTTTTGGTGATATTCTAGTTAAGGCTGTCCTCAGATATAAAGGTGATGGGAAAGCGGTTCAGGAGATCCTTATCGATGGTTCCTAACCCAGAAGCGTCTGACCCCATTCGGCGCGGTGCGGCGAATGGCTCCTCTGGGGCCTGTTCCTTTCTGCGCCGGGATGGATGTGGCTGTGGAAGCAGGGCATGGGCGCTGTACTGGGTCCCAGCTCAGTCCCACTGCCTTTTTACTGCCTGCAAGTTTCTTAAATATAGGTCATTTGGCCTTTGCTTCCATTTCGGGAAAGGCTTTGGGGGATCTTTTGTCCCAGAAAAAATTAATTATCCTTTTCTGCCTCCCCATTTCTCTGCCTTTATATATGGGCTCCTTTAATTTTTTTTTTAATTAAGTAGGCAGATTTGAGAGTGGCTGGGGAAGCCCCCCCTTT